CCTAAAAAAGATCCCAAAATGAAAACTCCTAGGAATATTGTAATAGCCATATTCCAGAGCTCCCAGGTCAAGGAGAAAATATTGCAAGCAGCCAGAAAGAAACAACATCATGAAACCACAGTCAGGATTACACAATATTTAGCAACTTCCATGTCAAAGTATTGGAGGGCTTGGAATTTGATATTCCAGAAGGCAAAGGAGCAAAGATTACAACCAAGAATCACCTACTCAGCAAAACTGAGTATAATCTTTCATGGGCAAAAATGGATTTTTAATGAAATAGAGGACTTCCAAGCATTCCCAATGAAAAAAACCAGAGCTGAATAGAAAATTATCCTTCAAACACAAGACTCAAAAGAAGCATAAAAATGTATTAATGAAAGAGTAAACAAAAGGGTCTCAATAAAATTAAATTATTTACATTCCTATATAGGAAGATGATACATGTAACTTCTAAGAAACTTTATCATTATTAAGGCAGTTAAAAGGAGTGTACGTAGATAGAGGGCATGGATGTGAGTCAATTATGTTGGAATGATCTCCAGAAAAATGAAGGGGTCAGAAGGGGATGCACTGGGAAAGGGGGGAAGGAAGAGGTAGAATGGGGACATTTTTTTTTCCACCTCAAAGACATGCAAGGAAGATAGATTTCTATACCCAGCTGAGTTTATGTGTTCTTCCCTCTTTGAACCAATTCCAAGGAGACTGAGATTCAAGCATTGTCCTCCCCCACAATTTTCCCTTCCTTGCATCACTCTCATTTCTTTTCCCAATTTTTCCTCTATCACTCTTGTGTCTTTCTTTAATACTTCTAGGAATTCTTGTTAGACTTGGGTCCAAGTAGCATTTTTCTTTTTTTTTCTTATTTATTTTTAGTTTTCAACATTCACTTCCACAAGATTTTGAGTTCCAAATTTTCTCCCTATCTCATCCCTCTCTCTGCCCCAAGATGACATGCATTCTGCATACCCCTTCCCTTAACCTGCCCTCCCTTCTATCAACCCCCTTTCTCTTATCCCCT